TAACCCAATTAAAAATAACGATCTGACTGGAAGATTCTTCTTCTTCCAACTTATCTGAGAGTTAATCGTCCAAATAAAAAGTAGAAACTGGAATCTGCACCGTGAGTCTAACGAGGATGTGAGAGAATTAACTGAATTTTGCGGATTAACAACTCTACTCACGAGGCACGTGGTGTTCAGAATACACAAATAGCCATGCCATCTGTCCAAGTGTCTGTCTGTCTGTCTGTCTGTCTGTTGCCTAGAGTGACAGAGGGTGTTACAACCTGTGGAGTCTAGGCGTGATCACACAGTGCGTCACAGGATTATACAATGCCGTCAGATAGTGACTACGTGAACTAGAACAATAATGGCATAAGGCATAATGATATTTCCGTCACAACAAAAGTCGCGCTTGTAACTGGCCATGCCCACTGTCTCCTACCACTCCGTAATATCTTATTCTTCAAGAATTGAGTGCCTTGGCGCCCACTCCAAGGTACATAAATTAAATAGCTATTTCCATCTACATCTAAGTCTTCCTACATCTCTGTTTCCTCCTAATGAATACGTGCATATTATTTTGGGGACTTCTCCATTTGGAGAAGATGGAATGTTAAAATAGTGTAGTTGCGTCATATTGTGATTTATTAAATTAAAATTAGATTATTTGGTTATTCCGTCAAATCACAGTAATAAACCTTGATCGGATACGGTAATACTTCTGGATCACCTCCAGACACAACTGTGTTGTCTACTATTTCATCTCTGACCGATGTAAATATCAAAAGCATCACTTCAAACAATACAGTTGATCCATTATATGAAAATATCTGGACACGACCTCCAAAAAACTACACTACGAAAAATTGTAAAAAATTGTAATTGAGTTTTAAATTTAATATAATTTTACACCTGATGATGGTTTAATAAAACCGAAACATGTTGTAACTGTTCCAATTGTAAATCGATTATTCGATATGGAACACAGAATGATATTTTAATTATTTTAATTATCTTATTTTAAATACATTGTGATTTGACGGAATAACCAAATAATCTAATTTTAATGGAATGTTAAAGCAAATACCTGGAGATACCTGCTCAAAGACCTAGGTGTAAATCAAAGTAAACACAAAAAATGGGTCCAGATGGGAAATAATGGTGAAGCCTGGATTCATACGATTCAGTAATAGGACTCGGATCCAGACGCACGCTTCTGTAAACATGGTGATGTGACAGTTCCTTAGAATAGGCCACGATCTCTTCCTTTCAGTGTAATTTTCAATTCATAAGCGTCGGTTATGGTCTATACAGCTAATAAAGTTAATAATACACATAGTCCAGTAACGTGTCTCTCACTACTTTACATGGCGATGCTAAACAACACGTCAGTCAGACATTCTGTCTGTGCTGTCAATAAATTTCGCAGCAACCCGCCATACGTTAGTGTCAGTCGGTGTTGCCGGAGTGACGTGTCAAAGAGCATCAATAGTAAAGATGTCTCGCCATTTTGTTATTTCTGTACTCAGGGTAAACAGACAGCACTGGGGAGCAAGTATTCAAAATCTGCATACAGTAATTGCGTACTTCCGCAACTACAGCGCCATCTATTAGCTTGCAGTTGCACTACGAAGCGTAATGTATGCATGGCCAGGTACGGCAGTGGGAAATTTACATGCACAGGGGTGGAACTGTGAGAGGGATGGGGTGAGGGTGGAAATATAATAATACCGTCACTCTAATACGTGCATGGTGTGATATATGTGAGACACCTAACATCAAAGGGTGGCAGTGGAAAAACAACCTAAATACCACATCGAAATTACAATAGCCTAAATGTTACTACGAGGAACTGACAGAAACTGGCTTAACTGTATACAGCGAGTACCGTACGCCTACTTTGCAGCTCCCTGCCAAACGAAACAAAAAGTCATTTGTCTTGGTGTATTTAACGACACTGTCTCACGCGCATAGGTTGCATAGCGTCGAATGACAATAATAATACGAATGAGGAATTGGTAACGACGTAGAAGGAGACAGTAGGGACTGCTTTAAACTCATACAGTTCCTGGAGTGACTGATAAAAACATTAAATTCCTCATGATATTTTGATTGTTACATTATTGGTTACACTGCCACATAGCGTTGTGCTTTGTTACCAACATTTCGGAATAACGCATCGATTCAACAATCGTATCACTAAAAATAGAGATCATAAGATCCTCCGAAACGTCAGTAACCACCCACAACACTATTTACCAAGATGTTTACTTAAACTATACGTAACAAAACGCTGGTAGGTTTATGTGTCATTTAACGATATTGTATCAATCGCAAATATTAAGTACCAAAGAATGAAATCATATCAGATGAGCTTCAAATGTGTTAATAAAATAATTTTCGAGGAAGCTATTTCAGGAAGAAATTAAATATAAAATTTGTATCTTATATGCGTCATGTTTGTGTTTGATTAAATATATTTATTTTGTACAGTCTATACACAAACGTTTGAAGTTTATTGGTGTTGTAAAAATTATATAATATTAATTAAAACATTTGGTTGTGTAAAATATAATGTAAAATCGTATTTACGATTAAGAGCGCTAATATAATATAATATTTTACACAACAAAAGTTTTAATATTATATAATTTTTACAACACCAATAAACTTCAAACGTTTGTGTATAGACTGTACAAAATAAATATACTAAATATAAAAGTCTCAGTCATGAATTACTAAAAATGTTCTGTACCATGTATCAGGAAGGAAACTCACGAAAAAAATCTTAACATTATGGATACATGAAACTTGCCACGGGGTGTATCTTGTTCACCCCCAGGCCTGTCCGTGACACGTAACGAGAACTGGTCTTGCAACAAGCTGTGAAATCAATTTAAAACTTTACATGAGAGGAAGCGAGTCCACCGCCCCTTCCCTTGTGTGTCAGTATTTAAGCTGCATAAATTTAAACAGCGGCCCCCGGCTAAATCTGTGAGGCTGGAATAAACCTCATTGTAACTAACGGGAGGTATCTCAGTACGCTACTAAACTCCACACAATTGAGACTAATCTGATCTCAAACACAGTGAAGATGCATAATTAATCCCTTTAATAACGAAACGCGGAACTCTGTCGGCCCTGATCTCCATACAACACGTACTGAATCTCTGTCTACTCTAGCAATTTTGGTGTTAATTTCTGCCACAAGAATTTACCAAATGACTGAAAACATTAAATGGATTTCACCTTTTTTATTACCTTTATCACTTAGGGAACAAACAACCACTAAATAATGTGGTGTAATGGGTGCAAGTCCTGATTGGTATTTGGGGAGGGTCCGTGTTTCGAATCCCAAAGCGGATACCGATTACCCTGACAGAGATTCATCTTTGTTTTCTTCAGTTTCTCTAACAGAATGTTGGCACAGCACCTAAAAACTATTTTAAATACAATAAAAGTATTTAAATTTATTAAACATAAACATATTAAACACAATTTATAACTTGTGTTGGGCAAGGCCGTGGTCTAGGCAACACGGAGTTTTCCTCCGTGGCATCCCAACAATTACTCCATTCACACACAGAAGAAGGCAATGGCAAACCACTTCTGAATCATCTGCCAAGAACGTATATGAACAGGGCCCAGTCCGAGAAAAGGAAAGGATGGAAGGATCCTGTTCATAAAGTGTCGCCAACCTCCTGTAAAGAGACGGCGTGATAAAGAAGGAGAAATAGGATAAAGCGCGGACAGGGTGTGATGTTGACCACTCACCCTCATCTAGTACCGAGGTTGAGAATGAGTAGGAGCTAAACCTCCACTCCCCTGATCGCCGACATGAGGCGTAACAGGATAGCTTTACCTTTTTTATATCAAATGTCGCAGTTGTAATTGATGCTGCTTAAGTCCTTTACGCACAAGCGACTTGAGGTGGGTATATATTTTTTTGAACAGCGCGTAAGCCATCGTTTCTTTTATGATTCGTAGTAGCAATTATTGTCAAGCTGCACTTAACAAATAGGAGTTTGTTTGTTAGTTCGTGAGTGTTGAGAACAATTGCATGTATATCAACAGAAATAGAATGGGCGCTCCAATGGAGAACATACATGTTTAAAATCATACGTTTTCCCTTGGTTAAGATGTTCATTTATTTGCGAAATGCACATTAATGTTGACAAGCTGCAGAATTACAACAATTTTATTTTCTTCTATTTTGTCAAAAAATTCATACGTCATAAAATGTTTCGAATAAGAGTTCAAACCCGCAAACAGCTCCCTGTTTTACATCGTTCGGAGATGCTTCTTTCTGAGGGAGATTCACAGAGTTCGTTTTGTGCTTCAAGTAAAGTAGGA